AGAGCAGATGGTGGGGCTACACTAGACAATAAGTCTCCCCCACTTGCTGCACTTTTATGTGGTGGTAATGTTGAACTGCTCAGAGACTCTAGTGACATTAAAATTAATTGACAGTTTGGCAAATTTAAGTTTTATACCAACTAACACAAAGTGTATATTACACAGTTTTTTTATTCAAACATGTCATTTGCAGGTTTCAAGTTTCCATTCAAATTTGATGAGACTGTCAGGTTCTATTTTTCTTGTGAAAATATGGACAGAAATTCAGTCTTATACTTGTTATATATATGTTGCCAACTAGGGTAGTTGAATATACAAACATTTATCATGTTATTTTCTTAGCCCATCTACTTTTATAAATACTGTAAATCTTTGTTATTTCTTTTAGTACACCAAAAGGCAGAGTGTATTAACTACACTCTTCACTCACACCTTATTACAGTGTGGATGTAGAGAAAGTCTCTCAGCAGATAAGTGCTCCAATTAATAAACTGCACTACTTTATGATATGACACAACTTCAGAATGTGTAGAAATAAATATCAGAATAATGCCCCAATATTAGTTGAAGTATTCAGCTGCATGATACTGGGGATTTTGTGGTTAAACCATAAATCACATTATTTAATGGATCAGTATCCTTTAAAAGCTAAACCACTCACCTACACAGTTAATTCTCCATGATTTATTGAACCAAAATAATTAATTACTGTTGACAAGAGCCTGCCACAGGCCCCTGAGACATGAAGCCGGTTCATACCTTCCAATCCTATCAACACTTGTCTTACTTGTGTTGAAAGTTGTGAAGTGTATGTATATTGTATGAAATGACATGTTCTACATCCTTTGGTTGAGTCCTAAGAAGGATCTATGGAATGTAAATAAACTCTACTCTACTCTACTCTACTCAATGCAGGTGGTGGGCTGCATATTACCCACAGGCATCTGCTTGGATTGCCATGTATTATACAGTAAAAGTTTAATGAAAGTGCTGCTAGTATCTAAAATGTTGTACTTGAATGATAGAATTGTAGCATAGTAATGTAATGTAGGTTTTAAGGTAGGTTACAATTTGTTACTTTTTAAAAAAATATATTTTGAATGTTTTCTTATAGGTCATGAGTGTTGTGATTGGCTACTTAGGTGTGCTGGCATTATGGTGGCAACCAAGACTGTCAAGACCATTTGCATATGCTTCCGGTTTTATCTGGATACTGGTAGCATGCTATCTAGCCAGCATAGCTAATACATTTCAGGTATGCAACATAATTCAGAACAGGACCCCTCTGTGACAATATGAGCAATTGCTTTAGTTTCCCTGCCCTTTCCCAGTTCAAATTACATTCATTCACTCATTCAGTATTCCCATTAGACCATACTGTAAAATTGTTATTTATTAATGTTTCTGTATTTGCAGGTATCAGTTTTCTTCTTCATTCAGGCAATGTTTTTGGCAGGTTTTATGGTGGAAGTATGGCACATCTATGAGAAGATTAAGGCTTCTGGTATGTTTAAGTTGTTATTATGACATATATGATGCTTTGTTATTGTAAGGATTTATGAACTTTTGATAGGAAGAAGGTATATGGTTTATTGGAGTAGTAGTGTGAGTTTCCAAATGTTTGCTGTAGGAAATGAAGCTTGATAATAAATGCTGCTGACAAGAAGATTTAAACCAATTTAAGTAAGATAAGTTCAGCATAATTTCTTGAATACTTTACCTAAAGCATAGCCACATCTGATGTAACATTTTGTGTTTTTCCTTCAGATATTAATGATCTATACCAAATTAATCAGTTTCTGTAATAAGTCATATGAAGGTAATATTTGTCTTTCGGTTTCTCTTTTGAGTTAAAATAAATTTAGACAGACTTGATGCAAATGTGAATAAATAGGGAATTATGTAAATCTATTCATGGAATTTAATCAAATTAATGTGATAATGTACTGAAGCAGAATGTGTTAAGCATGTTTAGTAGAAGCTTAGAAAAATGTTTTATTTTCTTTAAGTGATATTGGTTTTATAACCAAAAAAAGCTGTAACTACAAAAACTGAAGTGGTTTTTGTTTCACTAGGAAAGCATGTTTCATACACTGATGCTGTGAAGACAGTTTTGATGTTGAAAGATGAAGAGGAGGTGAGCTTGCTATTAATGTATTCAATATTAAGTCTTATAGTTGCATTTGTGCATAAAATGTCAGGGACTATAACAGTTTTGCTTTTTTAATTTAATATTTTCCTTATTTATTAGTTTATTATGAAGGGTACTTTTAGTGTAGTGTAGACTAGAAATGCCTACTTATTTGTTAAGTCAGAATTTTACAAAGTAACTTAATTGCTGATGTGATGTAAATAATTTATCAATTTTCACACTACTGTGAAGGACTCTGAGATGTATAACTGCACAATGTTTCTTCAGCAAACCTCATATAGTTATCTGATTTCAGGAAAATGGATATTCTGTTAATATTTCCAGTACTATTGAAGGAAGGGCAAATGAAGATCAAAAGGATGAAATAGCAGACACCAGTGAACAAGAACAACATGGTGAGCAAGCACTCCAGCAGCTTGGAAGTGCTGTAACAAAAATAAAATTTCCCTTTTTCTCCATTTTTGATATGACATTCCAAGTCAAGTAAGAACTTATAATTCTTTTTGTGCAAACCTGTACTTTCATATGGTTACAAAATACAATTTTGAAGTTCCTGGTCTTAGCCTCACATTGAAAGTACTGCAGCATCTGCTTTTGCAATGAATTAAACTGATGTATTTACCAGTTTGCTGGTTCTGACAGTTTTTCAGGTCACAAGAATTCAGGGTGATTACTTACAGATGAAAGGTTTTATTTTCAAGAAGAAATAAGATTTGATTTTCCTTTTATGCAATAAATTCCTATCGCTTTTCTTATAGTTAACATTCATGTATAAATTTAAGTATTCTGAAATATAGGGAGCTTTACTGTTGTTCACTTTCCTTATAGTTGAAACTTCATCCAGTAGCCAATTAGAAAAGGAGGCATCAACACTTAACTTTGAGGAAGAGGTTCGAGAATCCTGTGTTGCTACTGAGGTTTCACAGCCAGTAGCTATCAGGTCTAGTTCTCAGCGACGTATTAGTGAACCATTCCCATCTCATGCATATTCTGAGTCACCCAGGAATGTGGGTTCACGTGCGGCCCTTGATCTTCTAACAGACTTGCAGTGGCAGAAAGCTAGACAGCAGTGCAGTACCAAGTATGGTGTTGACATCAAATACAGCCAGCCTATGGGCAGTGACAAGTATCTATATGGTGTTCTGTATGGCTGCGTTCTCATGTTGTTGTATAAACATAGCTGGTTTCTGCAGCTCTGCCCAATTCCGATTTTTATCTACATAGTGAAACATACAGGTGTGTTTTATTAATAACAGTTTAATCGTTATGTGTATATTTTATGAAAGATCTTTGTAATGGTTGTTTGTCCTCTTTTTATAAAGCCTAAGCTATGTGATTGGTTTCAGTCAAATTTAGTATGTTTGACCTGTACTAAATTTTATTCACTTATTTTGATTTTCATGTAGTTCGGATAATTTTAAGGGCCACTTTACTTTCGCGTCATTCCATTTACCTTTTGAGTCTTTTGACAGATTTTTATAAAAATTGTAAAGACAGCAATTTTATTATATGAGTATTATTATGTGTAACATTCATTTACTTTAATTTATTTTAGGTGGAATGTGGAAATTCATTCACATATCTAACTTTACTGTTTTGTAGTCCATCAAATAATCTCCATGCTAATGTTGCTATTTGTATTGAGAGATCTGAACACAGTATTTAATTTCTTGTAGGGCAATATCTTGGTATATGGAGTCTACTGCTGGATCAGCTAGCAAGCCTGAAGCACCATTTACTAAGTTGGTGCACCAAAAGATGGAATGCCCTTTTCCCAGCACCACTTGTAGGGCTCTTTAAGGTTTGTCTGTGTTGGAGTGATTTATGATATGGAGCTTAGAATTATAATTTTAGAGAACAGGTATGGATAAATAGGAATGATACTCTTCAGCAGTACTCTCCATCAATGAGAACTTGTTGTGAGGGAAGCTTATAGCATTTGCACCAAGAATACTTGCTTATAGCGTTGATGCTGGAGTGGATAATTAATTATATTGTGGATTATGAAAAAGTGACAGAAGATTTGGCCAGATGTTGGGTTTTTGAATTGTTTAAACTCTTAAATACATTATTAAATAGTATGAAGAACTGGTGAGTACTTTACAGGTAGCCCTAGATTTACGCCGGGGATGCGTTCCTGGACGAACTGGTGTAAATGGAATCGGCGTAAATTGAAACTTTTATAATGTAAATCAACGGGAGGTCAATGACATGCTTATAGTGTGGTTGCTTGTGCCTTCAAAGTAAATAAGGAAGTACTTGTGATAGTCAGTAGTTATAATTTATTTATGGTTTATTTAATGATGTCAGGAACTTGGACTATATAACATTGAGTAAGTAATTTTTGTGATAGCAATAACAGTACAGGTGGTGGTGTTAGTTTAAAGCGACTGTGTACAAACACTGCGATGAACCTAGTGTAAAGAAAAGATAGTTTATGCTTTAGTAATAATAATAATAACAATCTTGTGATTGTGGTCATAAAAAATTTTGCAACGTTGTTTTCCCTTGTATAACACAGTATTATTTTTTCAGCTTGGAGTTAAAGTGAATGAAAAAGTAATGGAATCATTGAAAGCCTCTGTAAACTCCGCTGCTAGTGTTGTGGTAATATTTGGGATTACCATAATCACTATTTGTGCATCCATCTTACTAGCTGTTCAGGTGGGCATATGTTTTGAATGCAGTGATGTATATTTGTTTTAGTAATGTAGAATTTGTTAATCTGGACTCTTGATAAATTAACATCATCCATCAGACAAGTGTGTAATATTTTTATTGTGTTAAAATTTTAATAGTAGTTACAGTACCTTCTCATTTTTAATTCTGTTATTTGTAGGTGTATGCTGAGGGTATTCACTTAGTGTACATGGGTGCAAACGTCATCAACAGTACTGTAATTCGTAATTCGGATATGCTGGGTGTTGTTCCAGACGACTGGCAGGATAAGATGAATGATATTCTGGATAACGCTTACACATATGGACGTGAAGGGATTTCAAAGATGGTAATGTGCAACACATCAGTATTGTCAGAGACCTGAGTTCATTTTGTACAAAATACAAGGGCACACCTTTTACCCCTAGGGATTGTGAATGGCATAGTTGAATACCCCTGCTCTAATGCAGTTGCATATAATATACTTCTTGTGACAGAAACATTTTTATTATGTAAATATCGTGATTTAAACAAACTAGTGGTGTGTTGTGTTCTATAGCAGATATTAAATATTTCACAAAATACTTGTTTTTACAGAAGTTTGTTTCTCATTCAGAGAAACTGCTGCCAACCATTCTTGAGGTCTAAGTGTCTGTCAATATATAGGTTCGTGGTTGGATGAAAGATGTGGATAACCAGAAGGCAGCGTTGCTAGAAAAACAGATTCTGGATCTGTGGGATCGAGTGTACCAGGCTTGGATGATGTCCTCTGGAGAACCATCTGTTGGTCCTACTGTGACAACAGGAGCAGTATTTACTAGCTGGGATAATTTCATGGATGGAATGCAGAAGACACCAGGTATTACCAACATGATACTAATTGTGTGGGTTACAATTAGTGTTCTGTTATATTTATACATAAGTTCATTGCAGGAAAATATGTTTTAAGATTTTTTCCTTCTACCCAGGATAAACTGTTTCTTTGATAAAGTTGTCTATTACATTCTAGAGGAGTTATCTAGCAACTTTTGTTTCTAAATTGACCTTGAAGACCACACTTGCAGGTTGATTTAAATTTATTTCCATCAAGTACTGTACCAGTCTTGACAAAAATGTTCACTACTGTCCCACCTCCTTTTTTGATATTCCAGGCAATGCCAATGCTGACAGAGTGCAAGGTCAATCATTTAGTTTCAGTCAGTTATTTGTAGTGCTGTTTGACATTGAATATCCATAATTCCACAGTTGTCTCAAATGGGGCATAATGTAGCATCTTTAACTCTGAATTGTATGATTAGTAACCTCCAAAAGTTTGACCTCTTCCTCTTCAAACATTCTGTTTGTACAGTGTGGAAGTGTAACTCTCTAAATATCTGTAAATTGAAAAATGTTCTGAACAGCTCTTGCACAGGAAAATGAAACACAGATTTACTTTTTCCACAAGCCTTATGGTTTTAAAGGTGAACAAGAGAGATTTTTAAGCTTTGCTATTCATAACTCAGGAACCGTTAACCTGATTTTGATTAACTACACTGGAAGTCCTTGCTTATCTGTCCCACTTGTATCCTACTCTTGTAAGAGACGATCAGAAGTCAGCATTCATGAAATAAAAATCGAGGGGCAGTAACAGAGCAGATATGGTAGAATTGTTATACTGTGCATATATTTCCCAATTTTTTTCCACTTCCAGAGCTTTTCAATGTAAATGCAATGGTGGCATTTGCAAAGGAGAATGTGGAAACACTCATGTCTGTGCTGGATTCAGTGTGGAGCATCTTCAAAGGCAACTTGAGTCTTGCATTCTATTCATTTACTGCATTGATTGGTATATTGTTTGGTGGTGGCACAGCTGTTCTAAACTTCATCCTTAATATGGTACGTTAATAATGCACATTCCATTGGTGTTTATTTGTCTGATTAACACTGTCAGTAGCTCATATTTTATGGTTTTGAATGATAGTATAATTAAATGAATAGTGAATTAGAAAGGAATGGAAAGTAGGAGTCGTGGCCCAATTTAAGCTGCTGTTCCAGCATTTGCCTGATCTCGAGGCCAAAGTTTGAACCAATTGTGAGGTAGAAGTGCTAATCACTTAACCACCGCATTTTATTACGTCTATATCAGGACAATTGTAAAACATAGTATAATATCTAGACAGTCTCTTGCTTTGTTCCCACAGTATTAGTATGTTCAGAGTAATTGAAATTTAAAAGTGAACAAGAGTTTTATAAACACTTCATAAATGTTTATTATAAGATGAGTGGATCAGAAACTGAGAGTCACTACTTAGTAATCTGTAATGTGGTTTGTAATGTGTGTGTTGGTTTTCCGTCAGTTTTGGTGAAAATTATTGCCTATTTAATACATTTAGGTTGATTTTATTTCTGTTTATTTGATTTTCCCACTGTTGTAGGACATTGGTTGTGTTTCTTTAGTGATTGTGTTTCATGTTCTAGGTGGTGTTCCTGACGGCACTTTTCTATCTTCTCAGCTCCAGTGGACAGCTGTACAAACCTGTGGAGCTCATCACCAATTTTAGTCCAGACATGGGAAACAGGTGTGTGTATACTTTATTCTGCTGCCAAACTGCATTTAATCATGTAAGAAGCTTTTTCTCATTTGGGTGTTGTCAGCCAGATGATTGTCAAATAGCCTACCTATTAGACATCAAATGAAGTGTACCAGTACTGAATTTTGTATTTTATATTTGATGTTAATTGTTCCCATGAAGAGTTTTTGTTGTGTGAAATATCTGTTTTTATATGCTTGTGGTAACTTAGGTATAATTACAAGCTTCTGTATGTGCTTAAAATTGTTAAGACAATGCATTTTTCTTGCCAGATTTGCTACAGCTATTGAGACGGCAGTAATTGGTGTGTTTCGAGCCTCTTTTAAAATGGCTGTATTTTATGGCCTGTGGACGTGGCTTATTCACAACTTGTTCGATGTCAAAGTTATATATCTGCCGTCAGGTAAGTCACAAACAGAATTGTGAGGCCTGATTTGAATCAATACTTGTTAAAAAAAAAGACAGGAATTTAAATACTTTGAGAGAAAGGTATTATTGTTCTGTACTGTCCGTTTGCAGTACTGGCAGCTACATTGGCAGTGGTGCCTTTCTTGGGTACATACTGGGCTTGTCTGCCAGCTTGTTTGGATTTGTGGCTGGGTCAGCAACAGGGAATGCAAGCTGTGATGCTGTTCGTGTTTCAGTTCCTGCCGTCTTCCTTGGTGGATACCACCATCTACAAGGAAATTAAAGGGTAGGATATTGTATACTTCATAATTATGTGTTTTATATACACTTCTAAAAAGTTAATTTTTATATCTATTCTCAGTGCGTTTTTCTTTTCTGCATGTAGTTTCTCCATCTCTGCATCATGTTATACTGTTCATTGTCATAATTCATCAAACATAATGCCGAGGTGCGTCTTTAATTTTTATAACACCTTTACTCATGGCGAGGACTATACTAATAAGTCTCTTATGTATTACCATGAATAAAGGGCAAAAATATTTTTTCAGAAGATTTTATTCTTGGATCTTCTACAGTATGTGCTTTGTCACCGAAGACAAACCATTTTTCAATTATGTTAGTAATTCATGAAGTATATGTGAGGAAATTTATCAGTGAAGGCAGCAATATATCTTTCAGAAAGAACTTCAAGAGGGATATTAATATTCTTGAGCTTTGTGTGGAGTTTGAAGGCAAGCATGGTACCACATCCTCAGAATTTGCAAAACTAGTCTAAAATTTTAATTTCTTCTTTTCCAGAATTTACAAAATATTATGTTTAATTTCTGATAGCCTAAAACCCACTCATGGGCTTTAAGTCATGGTATTTAATTATGGCCTTCTTTAAATATCCAGCAGTGAATGTATTAAGCAGTACATGCAATATAAAGTTGATGACTGATCTGTGTTGTACTAAATGGGGAAAAAATGTATTTTCATCTGCAGAGGTGGGCATCCATATCTGACTGGCCTGTCAATAGCAGGGGGGATTTTCTGCCTTGGTGTGGAGGGTGCCATTGTTGGACCGCTTCTGTTGTGTGGTCTGTTTGTGGCTATTAATATGTCAAGCTCACTGATGAAAGAGAGCCCTTCAGATACAACACTCAACCGCTTATCTCTTGGCAATCGTTTTTCTCACATAAATAAATTAAAGAGGTAAGCACTTTGTTTATTTTTAGTATTTATTTATGTTTTGTACTTTTGTGTGTAATATAATTTTATCAGATATGAATCACAGGTGTTGTGCCTTCCAGAACATCATGGTAAAAGGGATTTGAATGTGAGTTTTTAGGTGTTCTATAGCATAAGTGAAGAACACCTTATGGCCATATTCTGCCCATCTTTTTGTCCATGGCATCTTTCAGTCAAAGAGATCATGTCACCTGTTAGGGGCCATGTGAAATGTTCATTCTGCCATCTCTGACCACAAGAGTGCCAAAGGTCTACACAAATTGATCTTTATAATTGAGAAGTTCTTATGTGAGGACTGAATTTTTAGGCATTCTTTAAGCTTTGGCCTAAGTATTGAGTGCTTTATGAGCATACCGTCTCCATCTGTGTGTCTGTTGTGTGTTTGAGCCAAGCAGGAGAGTGGATGTGTATGTCCAAAAAGTATTAACAAATTGATCTTTGTAATAGTGACGTAATGTTGTAGGGATTGGGTTGCATCAGACCAACATGTGTGATCAGATGTGGTGTAAATTTGTGAAGAGTTCATGTTCAAATTTTGTGTGTATTTGTGTGTTCATATATGTAAAACCAATGCTGGTGAGAAGGTAGAACCATCTCCCTTTAAAATTTTATTTATTCACTGTTCATGATCTGTCTTATTTGACAATATTTGACTTCTGTTAGAATAGCTACTTTAACTAACAATAATTATCACCACTCTTATCTTTAACCATAAAACTTTGTTGTATGTTAATTTTGTATGAATACAGTATTTTGATACCATTGAATGAATCAGAAATTGCACTTCTTGTGTCATTTTTCCAGTACCTCTATATGGCTTTAAATTCTGCAGTTTTATTTATGCCATTGTTAGTCTTGCAACAAAAATTTGTTGCATTAAAGAGTATGTCTCCATAGTTTTCAGCTTGTTGATGGAGTCACAGTAGTAGTGTATTTCTTGTTTTGCTTTTGTTACAAACAGGATGGACACCGTGATTTAATTGCTTTGACCATTCCTTCTGGCTTTCTGGCTTCTTATTGTCACTTCTTCTGCCTCAGGTTAGTAGTTTGCTTGATTACTCATGTGTTATGTAGTGTTTGCTTTGTAGTGAAAGGTTTGTACTTAAATGTGTTGTTACTTCTTTATGTCAGTGTCCAAAAATGTCGTATTTCTGAACTTCATAACATAGGGATATTACACTGTAAAATCTGCCTATTCACCTTACTCTTGTTTTGTTTTAATATGTATATATACATACATGCCAGTCACGTGGTCAGAGGCGTGGGCCTTGTGCCGCTTGGACACTGGGACCGTGGGTTCAAATCCCACCCAAGTCATGGATGTTGTCTGCGTTTTTCTGTGTTGTGCTGTCCTGTGTACAGGTAGAGGCCTTGCGACGGGCCGATCACTCGTCCAAGGAGTCCTACTGAATGTCTAAATAGATCAAGCAAACCTTCACACACACATACACACAAAAAAATCAGACCGTGCCAAAGCGGGACAAATGTTAAAGAAAAAAATGTATATATACGTACATACCTGTGTATTGTTATTGAAGAAGTATGTTTGTGTCTTGTTGGTTATTAAAACGTGTAATGGAGTTTTAATATTTATATTTGCAGATTTTATGGAGTTTGGTACTGCAAATCACAATTATTTTGAAAGACAGAAGATATTTTTGTTACCATGGACTAATGACTGAATGCAGAAATTTTGCAGTTCCTTTTCCTTTCTGAGAATGACCAGACTCTACATACTTATATTCTCATATTTTAGTTTATGTTATCATGTTTGTGTTATGTGTTACTTGTTATATGCAAAATAATTCTAACCTTCTTACAGTGATGTATGGTTTGATGTAAGTTGTCAGTGAAGTATGATTTGGTTGTTACAAGAAGGTAAGGAACACCAATTTGTTAGCAGTAATTATGTAAAGGGACTGAGATGTGTTATGTTTTAATTTGTGTCCTTGAACTCATACTATTTCTTAATTTGTTCTGCTTTCTTCCACTATAAAACACTGGCATGTGATATTTTGCCTAGTTACAAATTGTAATATGACGAATGTCCATACTCACTGAAAGTCTTTGTGGTTATAATGCCATATAGTTCTGTATGTGGTTACAAATGTTTTGGAGAAATTTACTGCTGCTGAAGTTTGTAAGTGCCTTCAAAATGTTGGTAAACCACCTGCAGGAATTTGGTAAAATGTAATAAAAGTTGTATGAACATGTTTTCATACCTATAGCAGCTCACTGTGCCAAGTTCAAATGCTTAATGTTTGTTACTTGAATCTCATGCACTAACTTGTGGTTACTTTTTCTGAAAAAATAATACTTAAGTTGGGGGTTTGTAATACTTTTTGACAGAGGAATTATATGCTGTTTTTTTATATTTATGTAAATATGTCTAAAAATAATGTTTCAAAGATGGGATGTAAATAATTTGAACATGAATTGTAGCTTTGAGTATGTAATAGTTAAATGTACTTGTTGAGTGCTCTTCTGATGTGTGCTAGTGCACACACACCAGATGTCTCTGTATGCTATGAATTTACTATATTCTAGCACTTTCATTTGTCTTCATAATTAAATTTCTTAATTATTTAAAATTTCTTATTCATGCTATTGGCATTTTAAGCTGTCAACTTAATATCCCATCTTTTTGCATTACTTTTAGATTGCTTTAATTTATTAGTATATGTGTGTGTATATATATATATACACACACACGGTGTTGAAAATTTTGGAATCTTTTTACGCATTGCATTTTGTAAGTATGCTGTATGTCTGCATGTGTATTATAAAAAAAGCACAAGTCTTCAGTTAGACAGTTACATATGTGAATTGTGAAGGTCTAATATTTTCATATTTGGAATGTTATCAACATTGGTTATAAATTAAACTTGTACATTTAATGAGCTTTGCCTAGAAAGAAACAGAAATTGTAATTAGCTGCGGTGTGTTGAATGCTGTGTTTAGGCTTATCATTCAACTACCTGCTGTAATCATCTGTTTAACACATTCGTGGTGGAAATGTTTCCTGCTTCTGTTGCTTTTACGCTACTGTGCAAGAGTGTAGTGAAACAAGTGTGCCAGCTCAGCTCAAAAAGCCCATGTATCAAACCCAGAGAACAATATGTCGGACCTACTGATTATTAGAATACCATCATTTATTGTAATTTGTTTTTTATGAACTTTAGCTGTATGTTTTAATCAAAATCCTTCAGATTCAAATTTGAAAGATTTGAAGTGCTTTCAGTGGTGACTACAGTCCACAGACCAGGAGAAAAGCCCTGCTAGGAATGCGATATACGCGCACGCGCAAGATTACATGGTGAATGACGATCCATCCTAACAGCATTCGTTCCACAACCACTGAACGAACTACAGATGACAGGCTTTCATGTGTTGAAATGGGTACAGCTTTAAGTTTACCTCACAGCGGCACAGTGATTTAATCTAGAATATTATTGCAACACCCACAGAACACATTAGAGGTGCGCTCACTACATGCTACTCTTAACTGACAGATGTTTTCAGTCTGTGTATACTAGTGTAAAACTCTGACGTGTCACACTTCCTACCAATAGCAGCCCTCTAGTCCACTTGATAGTAAACATTTTCCCTGTACTGCCCCAGAAACGACTTCCCCCCGCAGGGCTTTTCTCCTGGTCTGTGGACAGTATCATATTGGTTGTAGTCTGGTAAATTGTTACCAGACCGTATGGCACTACAATCCAGAAGACAGCCATCTACAAATTTGGAAGAGTTTCAGGTCTAATCCAAAATGATCTGGCAGAAAATCAGCGCTTGCTGTTATCTGCTTGTAATGTCCATTGTAGAATTATTGATGGACCTCCCCAGCCCATGAACTTGATGCAGCATATATTAAAATATTATCTGTACATGACTAAGTAAGGTTATACACAAACCAAAATTATTCTCTCCGAAGTTTTGCTTGCCCTCAGAGATGACCCAACATGGATTCCGAGCTGAACAGTTATTTTCTCTTTGATATTCTCTGTTTCAGATGAGATATTAGAGTGGCATAGAAATTTGTACCTATGAGTTGTATGAAATAATTCTGTAGAAAATGCATTTGTAGCCCTTGCATCAGATTATAAACATGTCATTCAAGATCCCACCCTGCTTAGCTTTCTATGAAGATTTTAAATATTGATCCTCTCCTGTCAATTCAAGAGGAGTTGCTAGTCGTACTTCTAGCAGTACCTTCTTTATCAAAACATTTAGATGGAAATGAAACTTATGTATACAATTTATTTAACCTTGTTTTTTTAATTAATGTACTTTAATTAAAGAATATGCACATATAAAATTAATGAAGTCAAGTCATACAATCCAGAATTATATTCATTTTGAGAACATAGGGAATGTTTTAATTATTTGAAAATTACTTTAATAGTTACTTTTATTTGGATATTCAGGTTATAACATTTTTATAAATAGCATTTAAGTACCTGGCTGTGTAATATATATATATATATATATATATATATATATATCGAGGTTCTGTCACATAATCTCTTCATTTTCTGTAGGTTACCCGTGTAATTGTGCGAGAGAAATCCGCGCTGGTCCCAGTCCATATTTGGTTCAATGCGTATAACATAACAATTTCAGATCACCGGGGTTTGGGATAGCGTGTCCTAACAATCTACTAATATTATAATTTTAGAGCATTTGTTTAATCCCGTTTTGGTTAAATACCCTTTGACAGTGCGACTATTAATCTCAGAACCTGAAGATGGAGGTGAACTTCTACCAGACTGCACGACGGAGCAACACAAAAGATTCACCGCCTTAAAATCTCGAAAACTGTTGTAAATTTTCTCTCGAAGTTTCCCCGTTCCATTGTCTTTTCGTCCGGTTGGGTAAAGCGTAATCAGGTTCCTCTGCCGTGGGTTGTGAACATTTCGTCGTACCAGAGACAAGCTACCGAGAAGTTCTATTTCCTTCTCGGTTCTCCGAACTTGGTCGATGTATCGCCATTGTTTCGATTTGCCACTACCCTCATTTTATCTCCAATATTTGTATCGAAGAGTGTCACAAAATCGAAGTTAACTACTCGGACGCGCTAAAGGTTACTGGGTTGAATACCGGCTCATTACGTAATTGAAGGTAAGGCAAAACCTCGTTTATTACGCAAGTTACGAGTACATCTCCGCGTAACTTGCACACGACCTGTACTACACAGCCTTAGAAATCACTGTTCATTAAATTAGGCCTCCGATGTGGTGAATCCGGACGCATTTTGCATTAAGAAGTGTTTCTATTAGTCAACTTCCTGGCGCTGGTAATTAGTTGCGGAGTCAAAGTGATTGTTATACGTAGAAGCCGGGTTGCTGAGTCTTGGGTGGGTGGGAGGCTTAGTCTGGAAAACCACGGCACTGCCTGGTTTTTCCCTCGTCCTCGACGTCCATTAATCATTTTCTTGAATGGAAAACCCGAGCCTTGATTGAACTTAATTTTTCATTCTTTCTTTCGTCGTCGTTCTAGAAGTAATTTACGTTTATCGTAGATCATAACGAATTGAGAAGCAAGGAACGTCCGTGGAAACTTCTCTCTGGATGACGTCGCCGTGCACTCGGCAGGCACCGTGGACCAGCGTCATTAAACTGTACACTGCCTCGTCGCGGTCGTGTCGGAGACAAATCAACCCCCGAAACACGATTAATTGGCGCTGACACCGGGGGTTAATCATTGTTACGGATTATTATTATTAATCCCAGGGCTGATTATGGCCTGTTTGTCGAAGTGGCAAGGGTGTCCAGAGGAGTGTTGTCGTCAACTTTGAATCTCCGCCAAGCAGACGCCTCGTATTTCGCGCTTTTCCTCGGTCACAACGAAGCTTTGTGTGTCCACGTCTCAAACGTTCCTGGTAATTTAAACTTCCCTTTTGAACACGAGAAGTCGTGTATTTGATCGACGAACATAAAATTCTTTTTTTGGGTTTTGTATTATCCGCGAATTTTGTGAACGGTTTTAGACTCAGTGCTAGAAATAGTTGTTTCGTTGCCTGTTTGGAAAAGGGAGTTAAAGAGTTTGCCTCCGGGAGGTGTGTTCGATACCTAGAGAGGGCGTTCCTGGGCCCAGCCAGCCGCTCGACCACCCGGCGCCACCTCCTCCCAGGTTCTGCTCCTGGACAGCCAACAACCTGACTGTTAGTGCGTAGGTAAGCAGCATGACTCCGAGAGGGATGTAGAAGCAGACGATAGAACCGATGAGCTTGTACAGCGGGTCAGGGATCTGGCAGGTTCCTTCCACCAGCACCGAGTCGTGATCCTGCAATTGAATTTACAGAATGACATTTGAAACGCTTGTTGTTTTGTTAGGAATGCTGTCTTCAGGTGCTGGAATGCGACAGCAAACAGTGGAAAATGTTTCCTTCAAGAACCCCTTTCATCCCCCCAAAATAATAAAGGGTGGCCCTGATGTACCCCTTTCATCCTTTGTGTGGTTCAGTTTCTCATTTAATTTGAGTTTGCTGTGAAATGTTCAACAAATCAGTTATCGTTCCTGAGCAGCCTGAAACAAAAGTTTTCTCACAAAGGTTTTCATGTTAACGCATGGACTGGACTGTACGCGATACTATTTTTCACCCCCTGAAGACATGCAACGCCGTGAGTTGGGACTTTATTTTTTGAAGAAATTAATTTCGGGGAGAGAAGAATTGGTCACACTTCAGATGTGCTGTAGTCTCTTGGGGGCCTTGGCCTGAAAAGCCTATTTTTATAAACCGAGGGTGACGTGAGAGGGTAGCAATATTTGCAGTCACGTGCCACGTCTCTTGCATGACTTCCAGTTTCTGTAAATGTACGGGTTCAATTTGTGAAAGGGCGGCAGTGTTACGGTCTATTATAAACGTGTGTGTTCAGGACGTGAAGTTGAAATGTTTTCTAGAACTCCGTAATTTTGTAACTGTGAGAACACGGGGTGAGCTTTAAATGCGTACGATATTGTGAGCGAGCAGCCGCTAGGCTTTACAACAGCGCGAATTGAAATCTCAGTACTAAATGCTCCATGACTGTTGGCGAGAGGTTGGCCCATTGTACTTTATCAGGGCAGATACGTCACAGAAATTGCATTTATTTAATAGCGTTTTGTAGTTAAACAATCTGCGCTGTTGTTTATGGCAGCTCATGTGATCGCATTCAGGGGTTTTGCTTGCAATGCGTGGCGTTGAGCTCCTATGACTCTGTACAAATGCCAGTAATGATCTGTTGTGTATTTTGTGAGACATTTTTTAAAGATCTTAACGCGTGGTTTAAAGTTGTGGATTGTAAGTTTTGAAAATATACAGAGATTAAGCCTGAATATCTGTCCTATTTTTATTTCTGAACTGTACGTTTTGTTCATTGCTTTCCGAAACGTAGAATTGTTCTCAACATTCGACACCGCTGATGTCACAGACGGACAGACAGACAGGCGCGTAACAGTCCGTACGCGTGTTCGCTACCAGCGAAATTCGCCTCTCATTCCGTTCCAAATATCACTTCAAGGACTGCGATTAGAGCAGTTTCTGACACTGGGATGCGGGACGTGGGAATCCGTTGTTCCAGGACCAGCGCCGGAACAAGGAATTTGTTCGCCCTGGGCGGCAGTCGATACACAAAGAGGATTCTCGAAGCCCGTTCAACGTCACTGTTGTGTGTCCGCGATGGTGTTTTGCTGACCGCCCTGGGCTTTGAGCCTTCACTGACAACAGATTCCTGGGTGCCATAGAAAGCGGAATTTGTGGTATTAAAATGTGTTGAAAAAGACCCCCCCCCTTTCCCTCCCCCCCTCCATCCCCCCTCC